AATAAGTTAAAAAAGGAAAAGAGATACATTTTATTATGCAATTCAAAATTAAAAAGAAAAATCATGATAAAATATATTAAAAAAAGGCTTTTATTAGTTGGTACATTAATTTTAACTTCTTAAATTATAATATTTTATTTTGTAATTTGAATTGTACTATACTACAAAATAAAGATACTTAGATGTGAAAAGGAGGTTAATATTAAGAGATTTGCTTCTCAAATCTTAATATTAGAGAATTCTCATCTTCTCCAACCTTCCCTACACTTTGATGCAATTCAGACTGTAGAATTGATTTTTTTATAAAATTGACTTTATTTCTAGAACTTCCATATCCAAATCGTCAAATGGAACTAAAAAAACTCGATAACCGACAAAAACATGACATGGACATTTGATTTACTACACTATTTTTGAAGGTTACCAATATACTTGAACCAAAAGGCACATCCTACTGGACCAAAACGTAGGGGAACAAAAAAGACTTGGTAACATGGAACCACTTTCCATGTAATATGAAAGCATCTTATGAGATAATGAGAAAACAAGAAAAAAATGACGTTTGGAAGCACTAAAACGTCTGGGTTGTTAATAATAATAATAAAATATGCCATTATCGTGACGTTTGAGAATATCATTTTAGACTTTTTATTTTTATTTTGAATTATACAAAAGAAACTAATTTTTGTTTATTTTTAATTTATTTTATTCACATGATATATAATTTGAACTCAAAATATTTTATTTTCAATTAAAAGAGAATATCATTGAATTAATTAAATAATTAGCATTTTAAAACTTTCAAATATTAAAAACTAAGTATATTAACCTTTGTTTGACAATATTTTACACAAACTTCTTTTTATATTTTTCTTTAACTAAAAACGTTTATTTATAATTTATAATTAATTTTAATAAATATTTTACATATTTTCAAGATAATATAAAACAAAAAAATCTATAATTACAATCACAGCATAAATAAATGAAACCTAAATTATTAGTAGTAATGTCTAGTTAGTTGGTATTATTATTATTAATTTATTGCAATCATCATCGAAATTTCTGTAGTTACCCTCCTATCCAGAAACTGCTTGCGGCAAACGGCTTTTGCAATAGACAAACGGAACAAAGGGTATGAACCTTACATGTTTTCTTATTCACCATAATTTACAAGCTTCTTCAGTTAATTTTATGACAGTTTAAGTCATAAATTGGTGACCTTAATAATATGGTTTGTGGCAATAACCATTCCCTGCAAACCGGCAACGGATTTGTAAATATTGTACCTGTTGGGGTTAAATTGATAAAAGGAAAAAGGTCAGGGACGTAAATGAAAATTAGAAAAAGATTTTAGAGGAAAAAAAAATCCTTACTCTTTTTTTAAAACCGGCTTTTGTAGATCATTGTAATATTTATTGGACTTGAAAATAAATGGGCCCTGTGCCAAGATTTGATTCGAAATTTGGGTTAAACAGGCAAAATGCCCAAATTGTCTAAAAGATAGACAAGCCCACAAAAGATGGATGAGCTTCTTCTTCTTTTTCATTTTTTCATAATGAGAAGTAATGCTATTTTATTTTTATTATTCAACTCTACATTGTATTATATTATATGATTAGAACTCAAAATCTTTTATACTTTTACAGTAAAGAGATTATCATTAAATACTGAACTTATGTCGTTAGAAGCTGTAGGTAATTAAACAGATGAATAAGTATGTGCATCGTCTATGGATAAATTACATGGAGTGTTATATGATAAGTACTCACAATATCCAAAAAAATTATATAAATA